GTTGGCCGTCACCTGCCTGTTAGATGTCAGTCTCGGCAGCCCGATCCATCTCATTGGCAGTAGACAATATCGGGGACCTCATTATTTATATTATAATAAGGTAATTGCCGTAATCGTATAAAGAAACGATATATGCGCAGATGTGTGTTTGTTTTTTTATGTTTGTTTGTATGTGTGTGTAATCATTATAATATAGAGATACTATATAAAACTAGAAGCACTCAGAGAGTGCAGACCTCTGCCAAGGTGGTATGCGCTGATGCATTAGAAATATTCACACTTGATGAATCACATTAAAATTACCTTTCTCAGGTACACTGGTGACCTGTAAAGATGGTAGTTACCCTATGGCCAGAGCTGATTCAATCATTACAACCATTTAATAGCATCTATACAAAGCTACGGTAGACCTTTGGTTAAAAAAATAATAATAAAAAAAACTGTTAAAACCTTTTTAAGTTATATGCTAACGAACAACTGAGCAGCGCTACATAAAGTATAATCTCCTTGGCGGAGATAAAATCAATTGTCAGAGCTAAGAATCAATTCTTACTTTTAATCAGAACTCACCTTTTGGTATCATGAGACGAATTTGATCAATTAATTATATCAATACGCTGCGTAGCATTGGTGACATTTGCACCATCTACAACATTCTCTCTCTCTCTCTCTCTCTCTCTCTCTCTCTCTCTCTCTCTCTCTCTCTCTCTCTCTCTCTCTCTCTCTCTCTCTCTCTCTCTCTCTCTCTCTCTCTCTCTCTCTCTCTCTCTCTCTCTCTCTCTCTCTCTCTCTCTCAATCATTCACTCATTCTTGTTTTTCATATATAGCCCACTCATACGTCCCCCATAACCTTTCTTTACCCCCTACTTCCTTTCGCTCATTCATTTCTTTCTCCATTCTATATCACTCTGTAGGCAGATCTGTAGCCTCCATGTCCACTCCTAGATCATCTGAATTTTCTAGCCAAGAATCGATAGGGTTACCTTTTACATTTGCCTCTTCTGCCTCTTTGTCGTTGTTTGTAAAACGTTTCGTCTGAAAACTGTAGCACATCGAAAAGTCGATTATTCAGCACGTGCAACAGTAGTTTCATGTAAAAAAAAAAAAAAGGTCATATCAGCCATTATATTAGAAATGAAAATCATTTTTATGCATTATCCTTTCACTACTTATCAAGGTTTTCTACATTTCATTACTATTTAATTCATGTTTTTAATCTGTTTTTCTTCATATTCTTCCTACTACATGCATCCACCCTTTTCCTTGGCGCCCGCTTCTAGGACAAAATCATCTAAAATTATATATATTTCAGCTGCTTATTTATATTTCTTGAGATGGTTGCATTGTGTGTACATATCTCGTGACACTCGAAATGACCTTCCTTGTCACTATATTTCTATCCCTTGGTCTTCCTACTTTTTTATATTTACAGCTATTCTGTAATTCCAAGAGATATGTTTTCTTAATATTAAACCCTTTTTTGTCATCTATTCCATTTCAGGACCTTTACAAGCTCTTCATGCCTTTTAGTTTCAAAGACCTTTTTAATAATTTAAAGAGCAATGACCTCACTGTTTCTCGATGCCCTGACCTGTGCTGCATTCCTCGTCCCTTTTCTTTTAAAACTAAATTTTTCTGTGCAGTCAAGATGAGTTTTTCCCCTTATCTTTGCCATAATCATAAATAATCTAGTACAAAGAATGCAATTTACCTCCAAACCCCTACAGTAGGGCCTGGTGCTGTAAGGCGACTACAGCTGCCGTTGAAGTAAACAGCGGAGTTCCAATACTCGTCTATATATTTAACTTTAAAACATAATTTAAAATATTTTCATTTGCCTTTTCTCCTTTATTTGTACTGCTACACTTAAATGGGTCCTTTAATTTCTTTGCAACAATTTACAATTAATATTTTCCTAGCTTAAAACTGTGTTTCTTTACAAAACTTTCTTCCATGTAAGTTAATGCAAAATAAATATATTCTAAATTACAAATAAAATAAAGGTTTTGGTGAAGATTTCCTTGGTCTATAAAGTTATATCAAATAGGCTCAAATAAAATTCATTCTTTGTATGTAATGACATAGATCTCTCAAAACATCTAATCCTTTTACCATTATTGACAAGACATCATGACATCGTAATTTTTGTTTTCCTTACTTTTCTATCTTCATCACAGATTACTTCACTTGCCGGGCCCATTTTCCAATGGTTTCGCTATGATCTTTTATAATCACAAAATCACCTACTTTCACATCCCTTCTGGGTCTAAGCCACTTACTTCTAGATTGTATAAACTCTATCTTCCATTTACACCAAATATATTGGCTAAATACTGTTATCTTCACCATCTTTCCCATGAATAAAGATCATTCCTTTCAAAGTTACCTCGTGGTAGCAATACATTTTTTATTACATAGTCAAAAGACGGTTTGGAGTTAGAGGATCTATTGAATTAATAGTCCAGTGTCAATAGACGACTATTGACAACGGATTATGACTCAACTATAAATAAGTTCCATACAAAGTATCACAGACAAAATGTTTCTTACAGTACGAATCTGTCTCTCCTATGTACCCCCCATATGACTAGCATATGGTACATACATTTTGAAATTTATCCAATCACAATTGTCCTTTAACATTCCACTGATGGTTTTTGTTCAGTCCATTTCCTTTAAGCAAATCTGAAGGCCACTCCTGGCACCTACAAAATCTGTATCGCTATCAGATCTCAAGCAAGGCACTGACACTCTTCTACCAATAAATCGATAGTGAGTATTGATAAAAGAATCAGTATCAATAGAATCCACTAGGTGAACAGCTCTTGAACCGAAACATGCAAACAATACTCCATATTTCTTGATCTCATTGCATCTTACCTTTACATTTCTTGGTCTAGCATACTACTTCTTGCTTTCTTGCAAATCATAAAGTTTCAAATGCGCTTGACAACCATTGACGATCCTTCTACATTCTAGTAACCTGCTGATCATATTTCATCTAAAGTTATACAACGACCTTGATGGTAAATCCTTTAGTGTTAGTGCCAAATCGGCAATCCTGATAGGTTTACCTGGCAAAATTACAGGACGTCTACTTACTTCACTCAAGTATGCTTGACGAAGTATTCATGCTTTTATGATTCCATCTACATTCCTAAATAAACTTAATTTATATAAACTGATTGTTTTACTAAGGCCATTCTCTTTTGTTTGAAGAACTCTTTTTTCGTCAGCATAATGTTTATTTTGACGTTGCTGTATTATTATATTATCTGCCTTTTCAAGCTCTGAAACTCACAGGACAATCGGCCATATCCTAAGTTGGAGTGAGTCCATCGCCTTCGCCGTCGCTTTTGTATGGCTATATCCCTTATTGTTTAGCTTCCGCTCTAACAATGTGCACTTTTGCCTACATTGTTGGAACGATTGTCATTGTCCTTGTAGTTTGACGAAGGGCAATTTATAAATCAAAAGGTCAATTTGAAAATACACGTCAGAAAGGATTTTAATAGTTCCGCTGCCATCGCCGTCGCCTTTGCATTGTCATATCCATAGTGACATGCATTTTCGCCCTCATCATTGTAACGATTCTCATTGTCCTTTGTCTGGGGTAGGTTGACGAACACCAATTTATGAATTAAGAGGGAATTTTTGATAATACACATCAAAACTGTTCTGAATCAAAGTTCATATTTATTAACCGAAATGTACTTGTAATAATATGAAATTGGAATGCAAAAATGGATTATTTTCTTTTTTTATTGAGTATGTGCGGTGGTCGTTTGGTGCTGCCTTTACGCTTCTCGCTTTAGTAACACATACGTAAAACAGAAAAATAAAAAAATGAAACGGCTGCGGCCACGTGGTCATATATTCTATTAAACTGTTAATAAATTCAAACAATTAACTCAGATAAAATATACCTTTGAGTACATACAAACTTATTAACATATATATTACAAATAGTACAAATAATGCAATTTACCTCCAAACCCCAACAATAGGGCCCGGTGCTGTTGACCCACAGCCTTACAATGTAATTTCGACGTGGGTCCTTTCTCCTTGCGGAAATGTCCTAGAAAAATTGAAGTGGAACGCTCTTTTCTTATACGTGTTTAATGTATCAGAAGCTTGGCCAAAATTGACACGTATTTAATGGAACTAAGCACGTGCAGAATGCTCGTCACCAAAATCAAACTTGTAAGGGAGTAGAATTTCACAATTACATGTTTTGAAAACTTTTTGCATGTCCTTTACCCCCCCCCCCCCGACTTTATTTTTTGCAATTTTCGAAAAAAAAAAATCTCGCGGACCACTCGCCTTTTTCCCTCCATTATTTTTTTCTGGGCAAGCTCAGTGATAGAAGTTCCATAGGTTGCGGAGCGGGGGTAGGATTGTACAGTAAATGTGCTGAAGTTCGAGGTTGATGAAGAAACTTAATATTTTCCATGGATTTCAGTTTCCTTTACAAGCAAAGCTGTATGAACATTGTTGCCTTAATCATCTATGTCATGTATTATTTTGTTGAGATAATAGGCCTAGACAAAAGAGTGGTAATCCCAGAGTCTAGCTCTCAGATCAGATGACGTGCTTGCAATGAAATCACCCAGCACAATGCCAATGTCATGCCTGGAGAATTTTTCTGCCACATGTGAGTTTGGCACAGAGCGCCCTTTTCTCATCGAATGTAATTTTCATCATTATAACTATTTTTATAATGATAATAACAATAATGATAATTTTAGCAACAATAATAATTATGGAACTCTCGAGCAACAACTGTGAAACAAATCTGAATTGCTGCTCAACTGGTGAATGAATTCTAAGATACTATGTTAAATTTCCTGTACATATTTTATCTTTTGAATTTCTTTTATCTCTGCCATGATGTTTCTTTTGATCATCCTCTAGCGCTGCTCTTCACACTGGCCCTTTTGTTCAGTTTTTTTTTTCTGCACGCTAGTGATTTATCTTCTCTAGATGTTTATTGTCACTT